CAGAAAGATATTTACTTGTGTTTTATTGACTATGCAAAGGCATTTGATTGTGTGGATCATGACAAATTATGGATAACATTGAGAATAGGAATTCCTGAACACTTGATTGTACTCATGAGGAATCTGTACCTTGACAAGGAGGCTGTCGTTCGAATGGAACAAGGGGACACTGCATGGTTTAAAATAAGGAAGGGAGTGCATCAGGGTTGTATCCTTTCCCCATACTTATGCAATCTATATGCTGAGCAAATAATCCGAGAAGCTGGACTATATGAAGAAAAACTTGGTATCAGGATTGGAGGAAGAATCATTAACAACGTGAGATATGCTGATGATACAACTTTGCTTGCTCAAAGTCAGGATGACTTAAGGCATTTACTGATGAAGATTGAGGAACACAGTCTGCAGTATAGATTACATCTCAATATAAAGAAGAAAAAATCCTCACAACTGGACCGATAAGCAGCATCACGATAAATGGAGAAAAGATTGAGGTTGTCAAAGAATTCACGTTGCTTGGTTCTACAATCAAGGCCAATGGAAGCAGAAGTCAGGACATTAGACAACGTGTAGCACTGGGTAGGTCAGCTGCGAAGGAACTCTTTCAAATGCTGAGGAGCAAGGATATCTCCTTGAGGACTAAGGTGCGCCTGACACAGGCCATGATATTTTCAATTGTCTCGTATGCATGTGAGAGCTGAATAAGGAAGACCGAAGAAGAGTTGATGCTTTTGAGTCGTGGTGCTGGTGAAGAATGCTGAAGATACCATGGATTGCAAAAAGAACTAACAGATCTGCCCTGGAGGAAGTGCAGCTGAGATACTCCTTGGAAGCAAGGATGGCCAGACTTTGTCTCACCTACTTTGGTCATGTTGTCAGAGAGGACCATTCCCTGGAGAAGGATGTCATGCTTAGTAAGGTGGAGGGTCGACGAAAGAGGTGAAGGCCTTTGATAAGATGGACTGACATGGTGGCTGCGACAATGGCCTCAAGCATAGCAAGGATCATGGAGCTGGCGCAGGATCGGGCGGTGTTTTGATCTGCTGTGCATAGGGTTTCTATGAGTTGGAAGCAACTCCACGGCACCTAACAACAACCACCGCAATATCCTTCTCCAGGGACTGGTCCCTTCTGGCAACATGACCAAATTATGAGAGATGAAGTCTGGCCATTCTTGCCTCTAAGGAGCATTCTGGCTGTACTTCCTTCAAGACAGATTTATTCATTCCTCTAGCAGTCCATGGGACATTCAGTATTCTTCACCAGTACCACAATTCAAATGAATCAATTCTTCTGCAGTCTTCCTTATTCATTGTCCAGTTTTCACATGCTTATGAGGCTATTAAAAATACCACGATTGTGGTCAAGTGTATCTTAGTCTTCAAAGTGATATCTTTGCTCTTTTATATTTTAAAAAGGTCATTTGAAGCAGATTTGCCCAATGCCATCTGTCATTTGATTTCTTGACTGCTGTTTCTCTGGGTCGTGATTGTGGATCAAAGTTAAATGAAACTCTTGACAACTGTTTACCTTTTCTCTGTTTACCATGATGTTGCATATTGGTCCAATTGTGAGGTGTTTTTGTTTTTGTTTTTTTTTAATTGTGACTTGGGTGAAGATTTACAGAGCAAATTCACTTCCCATACAGCAGTTCACATATACTTTGTCTCATGTCATTGACCACAGTTTACCACAATGCAACAGCTCCCCTCCAATTTACTCCCCATAGTTACCTCTTCC